GCTAGAAACCAACATCCGGGCGCGGTCCTATTTGGCGTCGCGTTGGCCATGAAAATGTTGATGCAGCTTAGTTTCAAAAGGAAGAAACTGATGCCGTGTCGGCGGAAAAGAAAAAAAAGGGCAGAAAGCGGTTTTAACCCAAAGAGATCTGCAGTTATTTGAACTGAGAACAATGCATACAACTAGCACATAATTGTGACAAGGAAAATAGACTGGACGCAAACCAGTGTCTCTAAAGCGGGGTTGACGATGCATGAGTGCGTGACTTGGGGCACAGAAAAGCGTACGTTGACCGTTTTTAGCTACCCTTTATATACTAGCCTCTTTATTAAGCGGGTGTCCATAGATCGGGTTTCCGGTTTATTACAAACAAGTAAGTCAGGATACAAATAAGTCAGGATATTAAGGTGATGTTACACGAGACGATTCGCAACGACGACGTTTAGCTTAACACCTGGTTGAAATGTTGGAACAATGTTGCAGCCTTTCGAAACGATGTCGCAACAATGTTGTAACGCTGTGTTGCGCTAAAAATCGTCCTTCCAAATCGTCCCGTGTAACATGACCTTTAGTGTAGCTCGTAGTTGTGATGAAGTGACAATAGAATTTCACCGACCTAATAGCCAGTATTACCGACCTGATATTTTAGGGGCCATCAAGCGATTAACACCGTGCAAAAGGTAGGAGAATCCGCACATGTGTGAGATATTAGACAATAGCTTTATGTGACAACCAAACCTTTCGGCACAAAGCTAATCTACAACTTGTCTCCGAACATGACCGCTGAGATACCTGGCTTAATGTGTCAAAAGACATTTTGCTCGGACAAAAAAGGGGAATGCATGTTCTAGAGCATTACCAAAACTAAAACGAAAAGCATGTTTTCGCAGTACCAATAGTCTCTTTTGATATACTTGTGCACAGCTGCCCCAAGTGGAAATACCATAGTTCATATAGGGAGCAGTCAAAATGTGATAGATGTTGAGCAATATGCGCTGTGGGATATAGTCTCTCAGTCTAGCTACAATCCCAACCGATTTGCTGACTTAATGACATATGTAATCATATGTAATCAGTGTGATGTTTCCTCGAGAGGTCAGAATCCATCAATATTCCAATGTATTTTACGAGATTTTTCAGCTCAAGACATGTCTGGGTGTTAGTTTCGACAAAATTTGACTTTTTAATATTGAGAGTCAGCTTATTGGCTTTCAGCCACTCACTAACTTTAGCAAATTCTAGATTTAACAGTGGATTAAAGTACACGCGGGTTTTTGGAGCATAAGTAAGAGTGGTGTGGTCGGTAAACAAATGAAAGGATAATTCCTTGGAAGATTTGAAGAACAAGAACAGAACCTTGAGGAACCCCACATAGGGTTTCCTCCTTATCAGATAAATGATTATCAATCTCAATTGTCTGCGTGCGGTTTGATAAATGTGATTGGGACCAGGAATTTATCACCCTTCTTATACCTTAATTTTCAATAAAATGAAATAAAAAGCACCCATTCCCCCATCCACCAACTTCAAATCATGTAATTTGCAATGTCATGTTCAGTACGTTAAGAATAACCTGTAGCCCTCTGCGCTGTCGTAGATACCTGCCCGATGTACATAGTATATGCTGGTTCAAACCTTGCATAGCTTTTTTTTCTTTCGTTTTCTTCCTTCAGTTTTATTTACCACTTCAAGTTTTAGGACTTTTTTTTCATGTATTTCAAGTGAAGATTTGAAATATTTTCCGGCGGGTATCCGTTCTAGTCACAACCGAAAAGAAAAGGTCAAAGGGGCCTGAACAACAAAGGGAAAACACAGAATAGTCACTTGGAACCAAAATCAGGAGAGCTGCTGTGTATCCTGGCTAGAGGTTGTTTTCGTTGTTGTGATGTTCCTGGATGATATATGACATTTCCCCACTTGCCAATAAGTGAGTTCAGTTTCCTTTAAATTGGTTTTGGATCGGACAGTAAGGCTGGCCATAAATAATATATGATAGTTGAATTAATTTACTACTGTCATTTGCTCGGATTAGGGTCATTCACTGACGCCATTGTGATAGCAAATGTACAAAATGTAACTTTATTTGTCATGTCGTTTTTAAATTGACATAAGTAGTTAGTTGGATTTCAGAGAACGTTGTTTTATAGGCGAATCCTTGTTTATATTTTTTACCTCATTATCATAGACTTATCATTATCAGATGAAGCTGATAAAATGAAATTTCTGAATATTGAAATAGCATAACAATTTCAGTTATCTCTGAAAATTTGAGCCCCGATAGTTTCGGGGGAATTCTCTTTGAAAAACCCCCAAATTTACAAAGAATGTACGAGCTCATGAACGTTTTGTCACACAGTATTGTTGCAGTTTTTAATTGCTGCTATTTCTTTGTAACTGATTCCAAACAGCTGAAAATTGCACAAACTGCACAAATTAACTAGCTCTTTTAATGTTTGAACCTAACTGGCGAATTTTAAAAAGTACGAAAACTGTTTTGCTGTCAGTAGGAAACAATATATTTACAACAAACTTTATTAAAATTCTGGTTACCAATCACGAAGCTAACGTGCAGATGAAAGTTAACATTAACGACTTAGCCAAACACAACAGGGGCACCCAACGTCAATTTTCGGAAAATATCCGTTTGGAAGACGATTTGAGATCTAGAATTTTCGGAACATAATTTCTTTCTTGCCTGCCTCCCCTAGGATTTTCGAACATCTAAAAAATGGTATAATTGCCCATTTTTAACGGATTTTTACCCTAAAAAGGTCACCTAGAATTTTCGGGAGCCTTTTTTCTGGCTAAAATTTTCGAAAACGTAAGTTTTGATCCCTATAATTTTCGGATCACTAGACTTTCAGCTAGGAAATCCGAAGAGATAAAAAATTTTTATGGGATGAAAATATGCCTATATCTACCGTTTAAATACTAAAATACGTTTAACAATGCTTTGCTTAAGTGGTTTTGAACTATATGCTTGTTGGGTGCCCCTGACACAAGATGGTTGGGGGCCCTTGAATAAAGTAATGAACGATTTAAGTCTACAAAAATAAATTTTAAAAAAATCATGGAAACTGTTTTGCTGTCAGTAGGAAAAGGTATATTTACCACAAAGTGTATTAATATTCTAGTTACCAATTACAAAGCTAACGTGCAGATGAACAGTGTTAACACTAACCATTCAGGCAAACAAGAGATGGTTTTGTGTCCTCGAATAAAGTAATGTACGATTTAAGTCTACAAAAGGTAATTAAAAACAAAAAGACATTAAAACTGTGTTGCTGTCAATAGGAAAGATATATTTACGACAATGTTTATTAAAATTCTGGTTAACAATAAGAAAGGTAACGTGCAGACTAAAGTTAGCATTAACCCCTTAGCCAAACAGAAGATGGGTTTGTACCCTCGAATAAAGTAAAGTAAGATATAAGTCTACAAAAAAGATGAAAACCATGGAAACTGTTTTGTTGTCCGTAGGAAAAGGTATATTTACAACAAAGTTCATTAAAGTTCTCTGACGTGCAGGCTAGAGTTAGCATTATCCACTTAGCAAAACAGAATATGGTTCTCTTTCCTTGAATAAAGTAATGCACGATTTACGTCTACAAAAATAAATTTAAAAAGTCATGGACGTGTAATGGAAAACCATGATAAATAGTCAACAGGCATTACCATAACATCTCCCCGTCATGTATTCACATTAAATATATTATCATTACTTTTTGTTAAATCTTGAATCATTACTGTCTGATGCGGCGCGTCAGGATAATTGTGTAATTGATTACTTCTGTTGTTACAATTCCTCCGTTATCTGCAAAGAAAACAAAATTTCTAGCTTTAGACCAAAGGACCATATATAACTTGTGGTCCGTTACATGTAGATTGATTAAAATAAATTAAAGTCTTGCGTCTAGGGCTCAAATCATGCAAGAAAGACTAATTTAGCGAAATTATATCCGACTATAACTTTTTAAGGTGTATAGCAATTTTCAGTTAGTGGGTGAAGGAGTCACACAGTCATGAAAGTAGGTCCTGTAAAGCTGTTTCTGCAGTGCAGTAGTTGGACAGTTTTATAGCGAGCGCCCAAGTCCAATTGAATAAGGGGCTTGGCTTCCTCACACTTTCAGTTGCAAATGATTTGTTTGTCCTATCTTATTTGTACCAAACGGTTTGAAACTGTATATTATTGCTTTTCAAACTGCATGAAATATTGAGAAACTGCGGTGCAGGTTCACTCGATTGGTCAAACCACGAAATTTCATCCACAGACTCAAAAGTTAATAGAACTCAAAATTAGAAAGAATAAACAGCACTGCAGCGTGTAAAAATACTGCTAAAGAAGCTGCACTTGAATAGTCGCACTACAGAATCTCATCCACAGACTCAAACGTCACGTAGCATAATAATAAGTCGCATGTAAAAATTTCATTTGAATGTTGAATGAATGTTGTATTTCTTTCAAACAGTGGTGAAAAATGGTGACACACTCGATAGGATTTCACTCGCAGACGCACAACGTAAAATCCAGTTTATGTCGGAACATTAAAAGCACCATGTGAAAGTGTTGATGAAGAAATTTGGTCAGACCATAGGAAAACTGAAAACCATTTTATTCCGATCATATGGAGTAGCACCATGTGGAAATGCTACTGAAGCGGTTTCATTTCAGTGCCGGGGATCACATCCATGAATGGGTTTAATTTGAAGTTTAGCCTTATTGGGGAACAACATCAAGAAAGAATTATTGAAGTTTTCTCAGAAACTTGGCCTTGTCTTATTAAATATCAATAACATGTTAATAAGAATACGAGCAAATTTTGGAAGCTAACGGCTTTAATAATCATGACAGTATAATAATATTACAGCTAAAACGACATTACACACAAAGTACTTACATAGTCTTGCCCTAGCCATTCATCTGAGTTTCTGTGAAAGAAAACTTCAAGAAGTGAATGTTGAGGATTTTTTAAATGTCTTCAAATGCAGACATAATACTGTCATCTCTCGCCTTGCGGACACCCCGCTATAACGGACTCCTCGATATCTGATCCATAATATGGACAGAAGCTAAATCCCAGGTAATATAGATTACAGACATTTGACTGAAATAAACTCCCGCTGAAACGGACTCTCGCTAATAAAGAAAATAATTTAAGGTCCCTGCAGTATCCGCAATGAAGGGAGTTGACTATACTACCTACCATAGAAATATCAACTAGTCAAAACAAGCTTTAATTAATGAAATAACAGTTGCAAAGCATTAAATAATTAGGGCAATAATACGTAATTAATCCTTCACCTTTCAACTAAATCGCGTTCATGACGGTTTTCAATTCCGTTTGTATGCGAAACCCACATTCGCTGTAAAAACCCAAGTACTTCTATTCATTATGAGTATCTTCAAAATAAACGCCTCTGTTTATTAACAACAGTTCTTTTGTTTTCAGTTTATTCAGTCAAGCTATAGCTATGTACAGTGTATATGTATTTTTGTATTTTGTGCTATGACAGGACCAACATTCCAATAACACAGACACCTGCCTCTGTTAAGATGACCTAAGCTATTCATAAAGTCAAGCTCTCGTCAATGCTCATTTGATTCTAGATTGGTGTAAACTGCTGTATATTTTGATTTTTAAATTAGTTCTAGTCGTGTTGCTGTAAATTTTTTTTAGCTGTTTGTTTGGATATATTTGAAATAGTGAGGCAAAGGAGTTTTTGTTGAGCAGTTTTGCAGTTGAAATCACTGCTCCAAGGAACCTGATAAGTGACTTTAAAAACGGAAGGGTATTGTCGCAGATTTTTTTAAAGATATTTTTCTTATATTCATCCTAACGAATGAGTTGGAATATCTCTTACCTCTGGTTTGGTCTTAAAATCAAGACAATGTGAAATTCCGGAAAATTCCGATTGCCTTGTTGTCCAATACGTAGTAGTATCTCAGCAAGTAATCGTCTAAGACGACGGATCAAGCGCATATACATGTAAATTACCTGAAAAAAGGAAAGCATATTTGTTACGAAAATAAGAGCTACTTTCAATTTAGTTTGCTGAAAAACGTGTGCAGAGTGTACGAATATTCCAAAATCACCTCTTCTTGCTTGAGTTTACTTTACGATTTGGAAGATTCATGACGCAAAGCAAATTTTGTCATCTATCCTATTTGAATTAACTTTAACCTGCTGCTAGAATTGTAAGAAGTGTTTTATCTATTTCGCCGTCATATATTACCCCTTCTTATCGCCTTTATGCTCACCTGATTTGCGTTAACGTCCATTATAACGTTAACAGTTGTTTCTAAGCTCCTAAGTAGTCAAGTAAACGTAAATTCTAAGCTAGATGTTCTGCTTTGCCCGCCATCAGTGTGGGTCCAAAGTCTGTTGCGCTTCTTTCAGACAAGGGTGAATTGAATTCAGATGAATTTCAGGTTCCAGTATGTGACCCTGCTGCACGTTGAGAAATAGAGACAAAGTGGGTTTTTACAAAACCGCTGTTTGTGGTTCTTTAAGGTGTTTCTGCTGATGGTCCTTGTTGTTTTGATATCTAACTTGTACCCACGTTCTCTTACATTCTTTAAACTTGTTTTGGCGAAGGGGTCGGTCAACTCATCCCAGATGACCATGGGGGGGGGGTCCCCGTTCGGTCCTGAACGCGATGATGTCATCTACTCCGTAGATCATGATCTTTAGGTCGTCTTACCATTTCATTGATCAGTCGCCAAGATCATTCCGACAAAGTTTCAAATACGCTACTCGTCTAAAGAGCGTCGTCATTGCCACGCATTTCTGATTGCAGTGAGTCCGACAGACTTTAGGACACGAGTCCTGAAACCCAAGACTAACTTTTAGTCCGCCAAACCGCCAAACAGAAGCCGAACGCCACTTGATAATAATGACAGTTATCCCATACGGCTGCTTCCCTGGCATAGTTGTAGTGGAAATCATTTTGTTCTTTCTCTCTTCTCTCTCTCTCCCTCTCTTTCTCTCTCGCCAAAGAGCATGTTCGAAAAGAGGTTATTTGAACGACATGCGTAGGTGCCGATGAACGCGGCATAGTGGCTGACTGGGTGTGTGTGTAAAGTTACGCGCTCACTCACATTTCACTGGGTTTAAACTCATGACTGACTTGTCAATCAAATCTGTCAGTCTCTCTCTATGAGCCTCTGTCCGGTTGGCTACTGGCCACCACAAATAAGTTACGCTTGTACCTAGTTTCAATTTACTGGCGAAAAGTCACATAGAACAACCGTCGAATATTATGTCTGGTTGAAGATTTCGGTTCCGATGTTACCAGTTGAGGTGTGATTACTGTCTCATTACAAGACAGAAACGATCAGGAACAGCAAGAGACTTAGTCGATCGTAGCGAGCGGCGTTTTGTGATCATCGACCGTGAAAGCCTTTGGCATGTTTGACGTCTTGTGATGGTATTTGAAATTCGAGAAACTTAAACTTAATGGGCGGAGCATTAGAAGGCCCCCTTCCTTAAATTAACATACACAGTCCACTAATTCCCTGAATCATTTTTAAATGGTTTAAAAAAACATGTCCCCGACAACTCTATCGAATGACTTGAATTTCGCTTGACTATAAACACACTTTCTACTAAGATTTTGTGAATTTCTTACAGCTATTAGTTACGTTTGACTTAAATGTTCAGGTAACAATGTACCTTGAAATGTCTGAAATGGACTTTGTTCCGTACCACTTAAAGTTTTTAATAGTTGATGCATGAATTTATGAGGTCAAACCAATGGACAAATAGTGACTGAGCAAAAGACAGGGAAGCATCGGGGAGTGCAAGCGAATTAGCCAATCCTAGCGAAAAGTATCCTGTGATCACTCAAGCTAGTAACAATTAATTGACGTGGCCGGATATTCTGCGGTTTCGCTGTTTTAAACTTAGTTACCAAAATGAATTCAAGCATATAGAGGGGCGGAGCATCGAAACACGAGTGGTTGAAAAATAAGACTTCAAAGGTCGCCGAGAATTGTATTTCGTACAGCTGAGTGACTATCATGTAATTCGCGTAAGGATATTAAGTGCCAAGGGTAAAAAAAGAACAAAGATGGAAGGTCCTTATTTGTAAACAGATTCATTAAGTCAAACGATATGGATTGAGAACAGTGTGGTAAACTATACTTGCTGAATTTACGTCTAAATTGTCTAAACCGATGTAATAACTCTTTTAAGGTCCTTGGACTTTACTCCTTAGATGTGTTTTTAAAAAATTATAGTTGTTGCCATTTCATGAATTGTAGATAATGGCTGGGTACACTGGGCACATTTTTGATGACCTATTGCGATCCCTTCTTTGTGTCTTGGAAAAACAACAGCACATTCTGCCAATTCCTTAAGGAATTACGTGTAGTGGTAGTATTTCAAGTTCTTTTCTTTTAATTTGCTTTTCACCAAGTAATCGTTCGTAAGTCAAGGAATGATAGGATGAACTTTTATCTTTTTCATTACTCTCGTGATGGGAAAATTGATGCCGTGATACAGTGGTATGCAAATCTGATTGTTTTTGAGACATTCTTTTTACCGCACAGACATCAAGAAGCCCTTTGTCTTCAGATCGGTACTTTTGTGTCATTCATCGAGAGGTTTCTTAGACTAGGAGTAATTGGAACTTAGGAGAGTGCGTTCGATATGTTTTCTACGCGTACAGGTAGCAGTTGAGGGGAAAGAGTGGATGGTTCTTGCGATAGATAACTATGATTATGGCATATTTTGAACGTAAGGGTTGCGTACAGCGAAACCTGGATTTAAACTGTGTATGATAATGAAAAGGTTTTGAATGCTAGTGACCCCATAGTGATCAGCGTGATATCGTATGGTTCGTCTCAAGTGCTTGTTATTTGAGGAGACACTAGCCAAAGTGCTAGCGCTTCGGGCGTGTTAAAAGAACCTTTTTGTTTTACTGGCGCAATAGATGTTCTACAGGCCACAGTTGTTCGAAGGCCGATCAGCGCTCAACCCCGGGTTTCTTTTTCTTTGGATAATTTTCTCAGTTATTTTTAAGAGCGTCCAATCATCAACTTTTTGGCAAAATGAAGCTTTCACATCTGAGTTCAAATTTTGCACCAACCCTCCTCTCCTGGGTTATCTTAACCCGGCTTTGAACAACCCGGCCCAGGTACTGTTAAAAAGCAAACGGTTGACAAAGTTTTAGATGTAATCATTAATTTTAGTTAATATTGGGAATTCCACATGTAGACAATTACTGAAATTTACTATAAAATGCCGGAAACCGTTACTGTCAAGTCTTCTTAACTTGTGATGATATTAAAGAACGACCCAAGACCACATTTTTGTGGTGAATGCCGGGGAACAATGATTGTGTTTGAACACTGGTTCACTTACACTACACCTCTCAATTTCACACGTTTCAAGGGAATCATCAAAGCCTTCAGTGGAATTTGTGTGCGGCTCACGTCAACAACTTTTCCAGTAATTTGGTCGAGTGTATTGATTTCAGTGGCTTGAGTGGCGCTACTGTGGGCTGGTCACGTTTTTCCGAATAAATAACATAGAGGTAAAATGTTCGTTTGTCCAGTGCCGAAAATATCACAAGTCATGATGAAATGGTGCCGCCGAGCTTCACATCTCGGTAGATTTACTTTGTGGAATAACGGCCGCCGAGCTACACAACTCGGTAGATTTACTCTGTGGCACTACGGCCGCCTAGCTACACAACTCAGTAGATTTACTTTGGGGCACAACAGACGCTGAGGTTCACAACTCACCGGTAAATTTACTTTGTGGCACAACGCACGCCGAGCCAGGAGTAGCACGCATTTTCCAAAGAAAAATATGAAGGCTTAATCCAAAGTAAAATTTTACTCAGGGTGTAAACTTTCAGCACACTTTTCAAAGATGAACGCTTTGGAAGATTCATTAAACACAGATCGATAGTAGACCTTCAGCAAACTCTTAAATATGTACACTTTACGGAGATTCAGCACACTTTTGAAAGATGAACGATTTACGAAGACCGAATAGTAGACCTCAGCAAACGTTTGAAAGATGAACGCCGAGGACACACGAATCACTTAGCGCGTCAAAGTGAGACAAAACGTAAGCAAGCGCCTCAAAGCGAGGCAAATATGTGTCAACGACGACGACGGAAAACCTTCCTTATTAATTGCACAGGACACCCAATAATGCACAGAACACCCAACACAAATTATTTAATGTGGTTGAAGTTCTTTGTTTCCTCGTTTCTACACTGAGCTATCTTCGAGCGTGAGGATATGTAGGTTGCCTAGAGCCTCTTACGTGAATTGAAATGGTCAGGTGACGTTGTACCTAGGAAAGCCAAACTAATGAAGTCAAAACTAGCCAATTCTTCCAAGGCCTTTGTTTCGTAACAATCGAGGTGACAGAAATGACGAGATAGATAAATGAAAAAGGGCTAAAGTTTCTATCCTTGGTAGACACTCGAGGGTAAGGGTAACTCAGGGAAAGATCTCGTTTCGGGTGAATAATGATAAATATTGTATACGCGCTAACACCTTCCTTCCCTTTCCATCAAGAGTTGAAATTTCCTTGCTGACCATAAGCCCTACCAAGGCTTACAAGGGAAGAGTACGGAAAACATTCAACACGAACTCTACCCCACTCCCCCCCGCCCCCTTCACGATTAAATGCTACGCAAATCATCAGCGAACGACAGGCTGTATGTATCTGCTTTTAGCATTTTTCTTTAGATGTCCAGAATTCTGATTCAAAAATCTTATCCCCCGTGCGAGTAAAATTTCACCAAGGGGTTGCAGATTTTCGTCACCCAGCAATGAAATTTACCAAACCAAGAAACAGACATCTTTTTTCATCTTTTATACAATTTCTTTCTTTTCATTTAGATATCCTTCGTTTCGAGCATATTTATATATAAGCCTCACATAGTCCATCTTTTCTTCTTTATAAATTGCAATAGTTGACATGACGTTGTAGTCTTCAGTACGTAGTTTACTGATAGGTATTAAGTAATGGTTGGGATGAGAGTGCATCCGTCCATGTGTTCTCTTGTTTTTGTTTGATTTCTCCTGACCTTCTGAGAAAAGGCTCGTTGCGCTCTGTCCGAGAAAGATAAAACACATTTTTACATCAGTAACCAGGAGAAGTTAGGTATAAATGGAAAGCAACTACATTCGCAAGCTCTCTTTGACATCACGCTCTTAAGGGACCAGCTCTAGGTACGACTAGCGTCGTAAAACCTCGTTTAGGTTGTTGGTTGAGCTCTGTATTGAGAAGCTCTGAAAGCGATCGCGACAACTTTTAGAATCACCGGTTGGTAGCTTTCTTTGTTTTTTAAGTGCTCCAAAGCGACTACTCAGTCAACACTTAAATATCTTATCGGCAACGTTTAGAGTAATACATGCAAAAGCGCTAACGCATGGTTTGTTAACTACGACTGATAATAAATACTAAACTATTTAACGTTTTAACGTGAATATGATGGTAATAAGATCGCAAGCTTTCTGTAAATGCGACCATCCTTGATGACTGCATTTTGATTGTACTTAAACATCTGCAAAAATTATATTTCTATGTACATAGCTGTATCTTACATTGTGTAGTTACAGAAAATATCCATCCCCCCGCCCCACGGAGGGCAACCGCAGGATTTCAGAAGGGATCAGGGGCGGATCTAGGGGGAGGGTGCAGGGGGTGCGCACCCCCCCCCCCGGGATGACCTGCGGCTTTCTAATTAACACTGTGCAGTCGCTTCACAGTCATACAAAATCTGCTGTATCGTTTGATATGTATTCTCAGCAGTTCACATTATGTTATTTCGTAGTCAAAAGCCCTCTTCTTCGTATTCGCTTTTAAAATTTTTTACGTCATCAGTCAGTTAGTGGTGCACCCCCTCCTAAGAAAAATCCTGGATCCGCCCCTGGGGATGGGGGGGTCCAAAAGGACGCAATTTCCCGTGGGGTGGGTGGCCTTTTTCCGGGGCTCCAAGAAAGACTGGTGAGTTATCAAAAACTAACATCGGCTCTATTGAACAAGCTCTCAATTATTTTACTGTTGACGATCTTTTAAAACAAGAATTATTGTTTTCAGCGATGATATTTTATTATCGGTCAGCTGATTTTTTTTTTTTTTCATGGCTTACGCGACAGTTGTCATCAGCTCATAAATAAACTTTGGAAATATAGCTGTAACGGTATTCACAATATATTGTAGTATTCACCGTAATGTTGGTGCGTTCTAAGTAGTCTTGACAAAAGCACGTTTTTAACTGAAAGGAGGCATTTGAAGTCACTCAGTGTTAGTTACAGATGGCATCGTAGGTATCAATTTCCATATGTCTCAGTGACGTGCCATTAATTACTATAAGTAACTAAGAAAGAACCTTCCAAGGCAAAATTGAGATTATCAGACACTATATTGATATGAATAAATGATTAATTTTCTCTTTATCACAGATACAATTAACTTTCGCACAATAATAAAGCGCAGAAGCATTTTTGACGTAACTATTCTTTCCAGGGGGTGCCTAACCAAGTTGAAAAATTACGGAAATTCCCCGGGAGGTGGGGGTGTAAAGGAAAAGTACCCTCCGTAGGCAGGGGATGGATATTTTTTGGAACTACGCACCTCAGAGTAATAATAATAGTAACTTAATTTTGTAAACCATAGTACTATTCTTTCTCAGTCGATGTTTGGTTTGTTTCAAATTGTCTTAACGGGGCCTTTTTGAAATAGAACAGAAATCTTACCTTCTCTTTGTTTACAGATCAAAACACCAAATACACTGTAGTTAATCATTCATGGACAAAAAAGTTTAAACCCTTTCGGATATGTTTGCCAGTTATGTTAGTGGGGTGTGTGCATATGGCAGTACTAACGAGATATTTTGTTTGCAGTGCTGCTAAACCTATCCCAATAACAAAGTACGATAAACTGAATTAGGAGCAAGAAGATTTTAATGTTTATTTTCGTGTGGATTATTCAGCAGAGCTATATTGTTTTTGCCTCCTGATGGACAAGTATTCTGGTATATGAGCTTACTTATGTCTAGTTTGGGAATGGATGGAGCGCAGTCACACTGTTATTGGCATTGTTGGAGACTACAAGGCCAGTTGTTAATATGGATCTAACAAGTAGAGAACCAGACAAAACGTTCAATATTTGCCACAGGCTAGCAAAACGTTCTGGACAACCTTGAGCTCCCCCTGTAGTAAAGAAGACAATTGTTGCCTCACATCACAGAAGAGAGTTAACCTTTAACAGTAAGTATAAGTTGGAGGAGAAAGTTGTTGCGTTTATCAATAATTGTAGTCACGCATTTTCTTCTTATAAAAAGTGATCGATTAGTAACGATTATTTAAATACTATTATATTATTGCTATTATTTTATTATTATTATTATTATTATTATTATTATTATTATTATTAAACTCTGCCAATTGCATCAATAATAGATGACGCTGGGAGAGGTGTCCTGAGAAATGATGGGGTTAGGTCTAAGCTCGAGATATCCCTGGCATTTCTGGAAGCACGACTAGCACCATCTTAATGAATGATAGGAATTTGGTGGTGTCGTGATTTACATGCTCTTAACTGTAAGGGGGCAGGAGAAATCTGCGACAGAGCTTACTGCAAGAACACAACGAATGTGAGAAATGTGAAACCTGCAAAGTCTTTGCCCCCAGATCATAGGAGCCCACCCCTACTGAAACTGCTGGTAAAAATTATCTCGAGATTGACTCCTTCTAGATAACATTTAGTCACATGAAAAAGCATCTGTGCCTACCTTTTCCGCTACTTTGTCGACAGCCATTGTCTTATGGCATTTGCTTCAGCCTACAGTCAAAGCAGAATTTTTAGATGTCGAATTTACAAGGGAAAGCTAAAGTATTGGTTGTACTATGGTTTATAAAGTTCTCGGAGTATGACTATAAGGTACACTGCAAATGGCAATTATGGTATCACTCTGTAGTGGAATCAGCCTGGCTAGTTATCAAGCACTTTGGACCATTCGTGTCCCAGTCTGAGCCTTAGTTAGATTTGTTTTCTTATGAATTTAAAGCTACATGTAACTGGTCTGCTTCCTGCCAATTGGGTTTTTTATTTATCGTATCATGTTTGGGTTGCATTATTTGTTTGACTGAAACAGTGCCTGTTAACCAGCTTGGAAGCCAAAGGCTCATGCACTATAAGCGAAGTAGTTAACAAGACTTGGTACTTACTGTGACAGTCCTTACTACAACGTCCTCCTGTTGGATGTTCCTGGAAAAGACACAACATTGGTCAATTTTCGCTTGAAGGATAATCTAGTTTGGAAAAACGAAACAGTTTTATCCTTTGACTGAGGCTGTGACTTCTTAGATGATGACGACGTTTTCATAAGGTTCAATATGCATTATCTATTTTTTAAAACCTTGGATGTCACACCTTGCCCTGTTTAGTTCTAATGGAAAAAGGAAAAACTTAAATGGATGATTCTATCTTTATGGCACTGTAATCAAAGAACAAAATCACATTTGATAATTTCATGACCATGGAACAGCAAGCAATAGCTCTAATAAATCACATTAGTAGTGCCATAATTAATATCACTCAGGATGGATCTGTTTAGAATTAACTTCTTAGTAAAGGGCTTAATTTTCTTCTTTTTTTGGTTGTATAGTCCTAACGTAAGGCTACTGTTCTAGCTACCTAAACCCACCCTACCCATGTGATCTCCTGGGCAAGGTACATTATCCAACTTTTTGATCACCGACTTCATTGTGGTCTTATTCTGTCTTTTGACTATATGGAGGACCCCTTTACTCCAAGAGTACCTTGACGTTAAAAAATTGTCTTTATTTCGTGTCGAGTGCTGAAAGCAGAGACCTCCTCAACAACCACCCCAACGTACCTTTCCTTCTTGATCTTCTTATCAAAACAAAGGCTTACCAGGAATAGTCTGGAATGTACCGCCTAGCAGCTACTGTGGCTTAGCTTTGTTAATAACATACCTTTCTATGTGTCATGGTTTGGTTTTGGAGAAAAATGTGCATGATTATATTAGCGAGGGGATTTTTGTTTACCTTGCCCGTGCAGCTTGTAAAAAAAGATGCCGTATCAGGTGTGCTTCATTCTGACAAGAAAAAAAAGAAAAGCATATTATTTCTTTAGAACTGTGTAAACCCTTCGTGGTAATGAGATATAAAGCTGATCAGTTGTGGAGTGATGGGCACTCGCTGAAGTCGAACACCTTAAAGTGTTACAGATAATGGATTTTCGCGTTAAAGTAATATAACACTACTATCAGACCATTAAACTCATCACCACAGATGAGCTTGGGAGCTGGTGCCTTAAGGATTGGTGGAGCCGGAGCCAGGCAAAGCTGTAACAAGAAATGGAGGTGTCCATGGCAATCCTACCAGAGGCCACCACCAGGCACCGTCACACTGAATCGCTCGGTGGAATACTTACCACAAGTATTATCGGGAGGAACTATCGGGAGTTGGAGCGGACAGAAAAATTTGAGGAAGGCAACGACAAGCAAGCTAATATGACTTTGCAAGTAATTGCTAGCAAGCAAACCGCATTTAATTGAATTACGAGGTGCCCCTGCTGAATGTCTGGGGCCACCCCAAGCCAGGCAACTAAGAAACCGCTGGCCAGTATTGATTTGCCTTAATTTCATTTAGCCACATTTTACGTAAACTTACAGACATTGTATCTATCATTGTCTCTTCGTCCTGACGCATCATCCTAAAAATGATTTATTTGAAGAGGTTAACGTCTTATTGCAGTTGTGATCAGTTAAGGAAAACTGCTGACCTCAACTGAATGGCTTGTTAATCTCAAACTGTTGGTGACATAGGGAAATAAACCAAACCATGGTCATAAGCGAGATGAAGTGCTCTTTGAAATCCAAAGAGATAAATATTGTGAAGGGGAAAGTGGAGTAAGGTAAAATATATGGATGATTTTGTTGGCTGCCACTTAATCGGAATGAGGACTTTGGAGAACGAAATAAAGTAACCACAACACACATTTGTAAACTGTGTTATGAGTCAATTGGTAATGTCACCCTTTTCTTCCAAACGAATCTTTTACATACCTTGTTTGGTTGTTTCGAAGCAAATGTCGTCTGATGTAGTATGCTTCGTGCTGAAATCAAGATAGAAAAGGCACTCTTTATGGCCATATCAACTCTGTATTGTTAAAAAGTGGAGAATGAATGTGAAAGTAGTTACCTTCAGCTGTACTCAGATGCAAAATGAAATGGTAACTAAAGTCATGCCACGTTAAATGGACTAAAACTTACATCATTTGTTCTCATAATGAGCACATCACATTGCACTGGGGAGTTCCTGGAACACAGGGAAATGTAAAATAATAATGATGATGATGGTGATGATGATTAAAAATGTCCGAGTGAAAAAAAAAATGGCAATTTACACTTACACATGCTGTTTTACTACCACAGAATGTCAAAGAAAACAATTGGATTAAACACAGTGGCTGTGTATCGAATTGATAACCTTCCATGCTTGATAACTTTACTGACATCTTCCTTACAAGCCACAGTTCTTAATGACACTTTTGGTGTTGCATTAGTACTCAACATAAGCAATCTTTCGGGAATACCTCTAAGGCAGTGTCAAAGCGAGATAAAATGTACTCTTGTTATGTCCTCAAACAACTAGAAATTGTGCAGTGAAAGAAATAGGTGATGGTCTCAGTTAATGTTATTAAAGTGGTGAAACAATTTAATTAAAGCTGTGACCTATCCCCTCATCAAGTAAACAAACCCAAATCCATCACACCTCATTGTACAATGTAACACTGTGGTGATGACTGCTCCTCTCTGTAGGTGACATTTACTTACCCAGCTTGTGAATTTTGACTGTTGGCTTGTCTAATCAAACGTGCTTCATTCTACAAGGAAGTGAAAAATACACGTTCCTTACAGATGGGTCAATTTTGTAGTGGTTAGATAGTCGAAAGTTAACTTGAGGTTATTCCAAGTAAAATGTACTAAGGTCATGTCGCTGATGAGAAACCGTTTTTATGACTCTCACAGTCTTATGTGAAATGAGGTGTTTTGTTGAAAGAATAAAAGAAAAGAATGAATCAAAGCACAATAAATGCCAGTACTCACATATGTTGTATTTGTCATGAGCTGGTCTTCCAGAGACGTGCATCTGAAGAACAAATAAACGTTTCGACATGTATAACTTAAAATATATGAAAAGAAAGATGTGCTTCTGAATGGGGCTATAGCTATAAATTGCTTGCAGGGCTTTCAAGGTTCATTGTAATGAGTTCATTGTTCTTTTTAGTCCCGGAAATGAAGCTATTGTAAATGGCTGATGTCTTTGATTCCATTGATATTGTGTAATGGTAAATATAGCATTTTCAAGAAGATTCTACTTTTGATGGCATACTAAAAAAGTAACACCATGCATTTGTGTGCATGGTACATGGTGCTACCACACTTCTGGAAAGAAGTGGAATGAAGTTGGGGCCCGTTTCATTGAATGTTATCAACGTAGGGTGGCAACATATGCTTTATTAAGGATTGTATCCCATTTTCCATCATCTTGAACAAACCAAGAAACCTACGCCATCCCCATTACAGCTCATCCTATAATGTAACAGTGCAATGATGACTACATTTCACTATACATGTAGGTACCATTTTGCACTTACCTTACTTGTGAATGTTGACGATTGGCCTGTCTAATTAAACAAGCTTCATTCTACAAGAAAGAAAAAAGAAATACACATTCCTTACGGCTGGTTCAATTTTGCCTTGGTTAGATGGTCTGGAGTTAATTTGAGGTTATGCCAAGTTGAAAATGCAGCAAGGTCGTGTCATATATGACAGCTTTATGCGGTGTAAGGTGTTGCGTATAAAAAAAAAGAAAATGCAAACTCAAAGCACCATAACTGCCAGTACTCACATGTACTGAAATTTTCATTAGCTCCTCTTCCAGTGACATGATTCTAAAAAAAACATTACATTACTGTATGGATGTCAAAACAAAGACACGGATCAACATTTTCTTTGTTCATATTTGTGACCCTAAAAAAAACACCCCTTGCCAACCCCATTTCTTTTCTTCATTTTCATTTATGATTTCTCTGAAGGTGCCATTTTCACTTACCTGGCTTGTGAATTTGCAAGGATAGCCTGCCTAATTAAACTTGCTTCATTCTACAAGGAAGTAAAAAGAAATACATTCCTTGCAGCTGGTTCAATTTTGCAGTGGTTTATAGATGGTCGAGGGTTTATTTGGGATAATTCCAAGTGAAATGCACTAGGGTCATGTCTCTTATGAGAAACTCTTTGATATAACAGTCTTCTGTGAGATGCAAGTGTTACGAATATAAAATGACAGCACAAACTCAAAGTGCAATAAATACCAGTACTCACTTGTACTCTTCTTGTCATGAGTTCCTCTTCCAGTGACATGGTTCTGAAAAAAAATAACATTCCAGCTTGACTGTCTGAAGAAAGATGTTGATCTAAAACGGGCTATCGCTATGCAATTGCTTGCTTGGCTCCCAAAGTTTATTATGTTCAGTTCATGGTTCTTTTTTCTTCTTTAGAGGAAGCTATCGGGGATGGCTGATGCTTTGGGTTCCATTAATCGTCACATTTAGGTGCTAGCAGTGGATATTAGTGTGTTTGTGGTAGTTCAATTGTACTTTAAACTTCCTCCATATCGCTTCTTTCGTTAGACTACGTTGTTGTTGGGAAACGAAAATATCTACAGTAGCTCTAGATTTAATTATATGTTTAGTTTTAGCAGAAACAAATCAAGTTTTACCTTCTAGTGCCTTTGGTGGCGACAGCCATGTTGTGTTGTTTTGAGGAATTGTGGGAATATCGCGTCACGGGTCACGTGCCGCCTTGTGTATTGATACTGCGCCAAATCGCAAAGTATGGCGACCCTTCTTTGCATATTCCTAATGGAATGCGTTGAATGATCTGTGTAGTGCATCTTGGCTGTTGGTGTTTTCGATAACCGTGTCTTTTGTTCTGTGTTAGCTTTCTCGGTACCGATGTCTTGATGCCTGTCTAGAAAGCTCAGCGGTTGACCGATTTCTTCATTTGATCTGTAATTTGTTTTTGCACAAATAAAATCCATGATTGTGATGATACTTGTTTTGGCTCGACACTCTTTTCCTTTGTATGGTAACCAACTGAATTGCTTTTGAACAATTCACTTTTCTTTGACAATTTCAACGATAACGGTGCTCTTTCCCTTTGGATAGTCGTGTCTACTGAAAAACAACAGTTGTGCTTGACTGAGGAATGATGAATGATTGGCTTGAATAAGCGCGACAGGATATGACCAGTGTCTGAGATATGTGATCTCGGCATGGTCTCATGAGTCAGATGTTATTGTTTCCTCATGCACGCCCTTGAGGTCATAATGCAACCAAAACAGTATTAGCGACAAGTGATGGAATGAATGTTGACACGGTTAGGTACATACAGGATATTAGTTTTGGTTTGACTCACGTTTGTTGAGCGTGCTTGACGTTACGAACTTTGGCGCTTTTTCCACGTCTTGTAAGCTTAGTTTTCCTATTGTATTTAAGTCTTTTTTTTTTATAGATGCATCGAAATTTTTGTGCCCCCCGCCTCTTGGCGTAAACGGAGCGTTTGAGTTCGTGATGGGCACTTATGTCATAGTCGTGCCCATTCTTAAAGCTTAGCTTTTCGGTTGTTTGCTTGGATTCCTGCTCTCTAATGAAAAGCACTGTAGTTTTAGGTCAGTTAATCCACTGTTACAATTTGGTGTCCTTTAAAAATAGTTTCCTTATCTGCAAAGCACTAATTTGGTGTCGTTAGATATACTGCTGCTTTCTTAACCGTAACAAGAAATTATAACTTTTGAAAATTGTTTGCATTAGAATACCGTACTTTATATAATGAATTCTCTTGTAGGGTTTTCCAGAATAAATTTAACAGAACAAGAAACAGGGACAAAAACCAGACAGGGCCTAGTACACGGAAATGCTATGGGCTATCAAGACTAACCACAACTGATTTTAACTGAGCTTTCTTGTTGAAGCGTACAGTATCTATTGTTTGACAATATCTATACAATATTTATTGACTGACTTGTAAACCTGTCCTTTAATGTGTTACAGCTCTGTAAAGCAGCGCTGAGCAGTTGATGTGCGACGTTTTGGAAGGATTAGTTCATCTCTATTTCTGGTATGAGACTCGTGCTTTCCCGAATGCTTTGTTAGTTTTTAGCCTAGGCATTAAGCCATTCAGAGAATCTGCTACAGGAAGCCAGTCAAGTTCATTCAGAACTGGCGAAACGTGATCGCTTTTACTGGTGCCGGTCAATATACGCCCATCAAAATTTTGTTTTAACCATTTGTAACTTGATGTTTGTTTGAACGTTCTGGAACAGGTCTCACAACAGAATTTAGCATTGTGTTCAAAACATATTTGGTAAGCCAATGTCTAGCTCTCCATATTTGACACAAACTTGAAAGTACAGAGAGGATGGTTATGCCGAAGTGTGCTCAGTGAATGTCAACTGTAAGTCCAGAATGACGCCTGCAGTAGGTACTTGATAGATAAGACTGGAGTCAATTGATCGAGGGAAGCTACCATAACATCTGGAAGCTTTGAGACTTAAGTTGTGGCATGCGGAAAAGTAAGACCTTTGTCAATTCAAGATTAACCAACAACTTATTTGCGTAACACTATCCCGCAGCGGCATGTTTGTTATCCTGGAACACCTGTTGCCACCATGTGCAACAGACGTTATTGGGAGCGCTCAGGAAGGTTTTAAAGCACGAGCGCGAGGCCAGAAACTCCTGAGAGGAAAAAAGAGAAAATTAACGCCTTTAGACTTTATATTGTTTTGTCTTTTCTGCCTACACACACGCTCTCCTGTGAATGACCAATAAAAAGGTCTTAAAATGATGGGCCATATCCTGTAACCATTTTTGCTACTCTACTGCCACAGATGTGTTATCTGTTGATCAAAAACAGGAGTCGTTACATGTATTTTTGGTTCCCTGAACCCAGGAAATTTAGTTCATTCCAGTGCCTTGGAGCTCAGGCAACGTCGTGTTACGAACAACAGAAATAAACACCCTTAATTGTCGTTACTCTTCACTAAGGTAACCGAAACCGAATCACTGATGTATTAAACTCCTTCTCAACCGCGCGGGCTTGAGTCACGCAACGTTCCCCGTCCCAATGCATGCGTTACTCCAGACTAAGTTGGGTTAACGAGACGTCGGGTGCGTGACCTGAGATCTTGCGAACTAAACTCACGATAAGTGAAATAACATAGGCACGCTTAACTTGCATGAGCCAGACAGACAGACAGCCTTCTTTTAGTACGATGATTTTTAAAAGCTTTGCAGCGTATGGGGTCGTGCAGAAGATGACTACCGCACAGGTTGTCGAAACGTCAGTCATTGTCAACAACAACAGTCCTATTCAGGACTACGTTCACCCGGACGATCAAACTCAACCTACTTTTAAAAGTTAATAGTTAAAAACTCTGACTTGCATATAAGTACAACATTAGAAACTCTAAAATCCTCTAACACTAATTAAAATCTCTACGGCTAAAATGTGTTGCTGTTGTAGAAGTCTCTTGCATGCATGTATGAAATGATTGCACTTATTGCCGGAACGTAAAAGGTCAGTTGAACTTTGCACACGGGAGAGTATAGCGTCAGAATAGAGACAATAATAGCCTTTTCTCTTTTCTCCCTTCACTCGCTAGCGTTGCGCTTCGCCGTTTCCCCCACCCCATGTTGCAGGCGTGAGTGGATATTAGTGTTCAACAGGAGTATACAATTCACGTGTGGGTGCTGTGGTGGCACGGGTACGAATCTAGGAGTTGACGTCATGTGAGGGTTGATTTTAATTTGTGTTCTCGTTCTTGACACGAGTTTGTTTCCCAGCTGTTACCGTTTCCATATCTCCTCAAGAACATATATGTCCTCATTCTAGATAGATGAGGAGTATGATACTGAAGGATCACTGTTTGGGTGTGCTATCCCTTAATCGGTATTTCGAAATTAGAATGCTGCAAACGTGTTGTTTTGTCTAAAATCCCCTGCATGATACTCTGTCAACACAAATCTTTCGGCTCTGACACTTGTGAGGGCATTTTTCGCCAGGACAATTTTGTCTGCACAGATCTATCTGTTTTGTTTGCATACGCTTCTTCTCGTTCTCATGCTTCTTGTAGATCTGCTTAGGAGTCAAGGCTCTGTAAGAGTCTGCATTTGGGTGACACATCCGAACGTCGAAGAATGTAGATCTCTGTCTCTCCCAAAAACCTCGAGCATGAATATCCAAACGGGCATCATGGGCTGTGTTAGCGCCATGATTTAATGTCTCCCCAGTGACCTCCTGAAGGACCCGCTCTACTCTCACATCATAACAGACCATCCTTAGCATCTCTGCTTCCAAGTCGCTCAGTTCGTTATGATGCTGGATAATGAACCCGCCTCGCTGACACACCATTGCGTGATCCACGCTAAATTGAAC